ATACGTCAAAAGATCACAAATCGTATCTAGTCGAAGACATTACCCTTCAAAATTGAAAAAATTTCCCTCGTTCCCCGTAAATGGGGGAAACCTCCAAAAAAATTACAAATTTAAAAATCGCTAATTTTCGAAATTTTTTCAATTTTTTTTACTAAAAACTGCCGTATCTTTTTCAAAAATGAACATATCAATATAATTTTTTTTTTTTAGATGCTTGATATCTTTACCTATTATTTGGTATATTTTTTTTTATAAATTTAACCCTTTACCAGCCCACAGGGGGATTTAAAATGACAACTTTTTCACAAAAAATTAACTTTTTCAACTTAACTTTTGAAAATGTTCCGGAAGGTCTGACACTTTTATATATATCTTAAATTAAAGCTAATGTAATATACTTTAATTTGAAAAAAAAAAATTTGACCTCTGGACTTGTCTTCACGGCGAAAATGGCTACCGAATGCTATTTTCGTGTGAAAATTCTCGATTTTATTATTTATATTATATTTAACTTTATAATGCTATAACTTATTGAAAAGTTTATGGATCCACACAATTTTTTTATGAGAAATAATATTTTTTAATAAACCCTTTTTCATTCGACATACTTTATCTTAATCGAGATATTAATAAGGAACCAGCAGATCAAGTAGCTTTTGGAATAAAACACCAATTTTTTTAAAATTAAACACTATCTAAAGATTTGCATCGAAGCGTTTATTTTTGATAGTGATTTTAATCACTGTCAGATATCATTATAATTGATCCAACTATACCAAGTCACAACTGTGCCGCGATCCCCCTGTGCTGGGTTTTTTATTTGATTTGAGAGTAATGGTGCATAAATTATTTCATATCCCAAGATTATTTAATTACGTGTTTCATGTATAATAATACTGATTATGTTTGTATTATAATGAACAGTTATATACGTTGTAAATTAATAAAATGATTTTTATGTTATTGTTTTTTTGCAATTAAGTAATAATAATAATAATGTGGTTCAAATTCATGTAATGTTAAATTAATATTTCTTATTCTAAATGATTATTTAATATTTTTAAAACTGATTAATGTTATATGATAATACTATTAATATTTTATATTAAATGCGTCACTTTAAATAACTCGTTATTTAAATGATTAAAATAACAATATTGAACATCTTTACTACAAAAGTATTAAAATTTATTAATTTATATTTTGAAAATAGTTTTAGTAAAAATTTGTACTTAATGTAACATATATGTTTATACAAACTATTGAATCTAATAAAATATTCACTAAAACAATTTTAGTAATATCAATAAATATTTGTTGACATTACTAACGTTTGAAAAAATTGTTTTTTTTTTTAGCATGGAAGTATAATATGATTTATAAAATGTATAGATGAAAATATATAAATTTAATAGGTTGAGAAAAATTTTCATATTTAAAAACGATATACTAATAATAATAAATTTATTTTAAATATTTCATTGAAGTGAACTACACAATTTTCCATTAATAATTGAAAATCACCCTTAGATTTAAATAAAATGGACATAGAAATAGACAAGTCTTTTAATGATTGATTTGTCTAAAAAAGGATGGGGTACATTAAAATACTACCATTTTTAAGAGGTTAGGGGTGATCAAAGACATTAATAAAATAAGCACTTTAAATTTTTTTTTCTCGACAGTAGTTTAATTCATTTTGTACCCCAAAAAATACAAATTTTTTATATTATGCTTTATCTTTTTTTAATATGTTATATCGATTGTTCAAAATTGATATATCGATATCGAATGTAAAACTCAAATAGCTTCCCTTAGAATATGAAAATGAATAAAATATTTTGATTTTGTTGGGAAATCTGAAAACGTGTGTATATCCTATTTTACAGTTAAATATTAGATTTCTGAATTTTTTTATAAGATTAACATTTAAAACCTTCTCAGCTTTGCATCAAAGCTAAAAGTATGGTAATGGTTAAAAAAATATTTTAAATATTAAAACTAAACCATGATAAATTTCTCGAAAATAATTTAAATGAACACGTAGGTTTATTTCAAATTACACTTTTTGAAAAAACATATAATTATATATAATTGTTGTTTTAAGGTGTAAAATTTTAATTTTATCGTGAATAAATAAATTACAATTGTTTTCATTTCAATAGCTAATATAAAACTTCAAGAATAAAAAGTATTCAAAATTTAATGACTCATTCAAATTAGAGTAGAAATAGGGGGAGTTTGAATAATAATGAAATCGGGAAAGTTGGTTTTTCTTGTCATTTGTATATGCTATTTCTATATAGTAAAAATTGATCAATTGTGGTTAATATTATTTAAAATTAAAAATATTAATTTTAAACTAAAAAATTATTGTCAATAAATTTTATGTATCAAAGTATAAATTCTGCAACAAATATACTTTTAATATATGTTTACAAAATTAATTTATGGCACGCTTAGCGTGCAAATAGTAACATTAACTTTTTATCAAGATAGCATTTCTTTTCTTAGAAACAAAAATCTTATAACAGCATCAACAATTTTTTGTCCTAAAAGTAAATACGTCACTTTATGATGTATTTTAATATTTAATGGCGGGCCACAAGGATAGACAAGAACCGAGTAATAGCGCAAAGATCTCGCGCGTTCGGATATAACGGGCTCGGTTAGATGCAGTGCACGTAGCGGCAAACGATATCGGATGGCGGTTGGTGGCACAAGGATAGTCGCTTGGTGTTGATTTTCTAATTATAATAAAAATACATTATGTCAAGACTTCTAAAAACAAGAAATTTATTGAATATCTAGCTCCCTTAATAAAAAATATAAATTAAGGGACTATAAAAAGTCATTTAATCAAATAAAAAGTTTATGTGGATAAAGCTGGTTAGCTTTATCCATATAAACAATTTAAATCGTTCATCTATAATTTTAAATTATTTATTGGCGAATTAGGTTTGAGATGATAAAAGTAATTTATTAATTTTTTAACTCTATTTGTGTGTCACCAATCTTTATCCAAATTTTTTCGTAACATGTTGCTATATAAATCATAAATCTAAAAGAAAAAATGATTTTTAGTTTCACCTGAATTTAACAATGGATTTTTACAATTATAATCAAATTTTATAATACGCTCAATTGAGTAGATCTTTTTGCTGTAAATAATAATTATAAAATTTCCTGATTGCATATTAATATTAACAATACCATTTTTCTATTTAATGATGTCTATTTCAAACTTGCAAATTGAGCTATAAGTTATGGTAGTAAATTCGTTTTTTTTTTTATTATTATTATAAACTTCACTTTAAAGAACAAAAAAAAAATAGGTTAAAAATGATTACTTTTAACATATTAAAAATCAATAATAATTTGAAAACAATTAATTATAAAAATTATAGAATATATAAGTAAAAGAATTACTATTCTGGATATAATTAAGGAAGTAGAAGTTGATGTTGCTTATGTAATTATCCACCAATTTCTTAGAATCTACAGATTTGCATCGAAACGTTTCTAATGATAGTGATTTTAATCACTGTCAGATTAAATCTATACTGAACCCAACTATGCCACGTTCCCACTGTCCCGCGACCCCACTGTGCTGTGTTTTTAACTTTATAATGCTATAACTTTTTGAAAATTTTATGGATCAACACAATTTTTTTATGAGAAATAATAATTATATCCCTTTTTCATTCAACATACTTTATCTTAATCAGGATATAAATAAGGAAATAGCAGATCATGTAGCTTTTTAAATAATCCACCAATTTTTATAAAATTAAACACTATATGAAGATTTGCATGAAAGCGTTTTTTATGATAGTGATTTTAATAACTGTCAGACATCATTATACTTGATCAAACAATTCCACGTCACCACTGTGCCGCGACCCCCCTGTGCTGGGTTTTTTTTTAGTTCAAGTAAATTATTAGAATTAATTATGTTCTGACTATTTCAATTATAGAATATTTTTAATCACCAAAAATTACTTAGCAATGATTACTATGATTTCTATTTAAGTGATCTATTACTTTAAAAATACAAAAATAATATTGAGCTTTTCTGATAAATAGTAATTATACAATTTCCTGACTGCATATTAATTTTAATAATACTATTTTTTTTTTCTCATAAAATTTTCTATTTAATAATTTAAATTTCAAACTTGAAGTTGAGCTAAAAGTTATGGTAACAAGTTAAATTTTTTTTTATTATAAGCTTTCAAAAAATCAACTTTAAAAAACTAGAAAAACTGGTTAAAGTAATATTTTGCACTGATAATTTTTAAAATATTAAAAATCAAAATCTGTAATAATTTAAAACTATTTTTTGTGTTTTTAATTATTATTTGATCGTACTAAATCATTTCAAAAGAAATATTAATAGTTTCTATGTAATTCTTGGTGTTCAAATAGATGATATAAATGAAATATTCAGAATTATTTTTCTTATAATTATATACTATGGTTTTTAACTAATTAGTAATAATATCAAAAATGATTGGCGATGAAAAATATATAATTGCTGATTTAAAATTAGCGCGATAAATCGTATAATAATAGTATCTTTTTTACTATGATGAAAATTTTTTGCAGACCATTTATTCATAATTAACAACAAAAATTATTATCTAAAAAGTTTTGAATGCAATCACTTTAATTTTTATACACGTTAAAAGTAATAACTACTTAATAATTTTTTGTAAGTTTTCTTAAAAAAATTTCAATACTAATTTATTAAATATCAATTTCATACCACGTTGAATTGCTTCAATAGATATTTCTTCATAAATTATACTTATAAATAAACTACTTATTAGGAATAATAATAGAAATAAGGGATAATTTTGCTAATAAACAAATAATTCCTTAAAATTAAAGACTGTCTACAGATTTGCATCGAAGCGTTTTTTATGATAGTGATTTTAATTGCTGTCAGAAAAACATCTATACTGATAAAACATCTAAATCCTTTACTTGGAATCTGCGTTAAAATTCTTTAAGAAATTTGTTTAAATATCGTAAACCACTAAAGAATTATAATATTCTTTTTAGACTTGTTTTATTAATTAATAACAAATAAATATTATGATTATAGATAGGAAATATATCGATTTATATATTTCATTCGATTATTCAGAAAAACTTTTGCCAGAATAAATTTTTATTAATTGATTTGAAAATTTAGTAATGTATTGTTATTTGTTATTTAATTATCTAAATGTACATGTTACATTATATTTAAATGTGTGTTCTAAATACTGTATATGAGATTTAAATAAACTTCACATAAAGTAAATTAACTTTAAAAACTATTCATAAAGTAAATAATCCACTAGATATTTAGGAGTATAATATTTCTGACTTGCTACTTCAAAATCCTTATTGTCATCATTATTCATCTCATCATTTTCATCACTCGAACTATGACTATAATGTTTATTTATATAACTTGAATTATCATCGGGGAAATAAAGTTGTCGATATATGTCTTCATAATTTCCTAATTGTTCTAATAACAAAATTTTTTTATTTATAATTTATCATATAAAAATTACAAAAACTAAAAAGCTCGAGTAGGTATAAACTCATATTGGTGTATGTATAATCCACTCGCTTTTAATACCCACTTTATTTATTTATCTACTTGTAATTTTTATCTTCATATAATAGAAAACTTCACAAACTAGTTTGTTCTTATATTTTTTTTTTTTATCCGATTGACTATTTATTTATTACAGCTTAAAAATACATAAATAGAGTGAGTATGTACTAAAATCTATTACATGTCATTTTTGACTTCATATTTTAGAAAAATTTACAAACTAATTTGTCCTTATAATTTTTTTATCCGATGTACAATTCATGGATTTTATTCATTACAGGTTATAAATACACAAATAGAATGAGTATGTATTTAAATTATATTTATGTACAAATTCAGATTCAATTTATTTTTAGCTATGCAATGACTCTACTATGACTGGTCCTAATTGTTTTTTTTATTTTAATAATAAAATTTATAGTTTACTTTGATTTGATAATATTCTGCTGTCGTAATTGAATCTAAATGTATGGTCAGTCTTAAAGGGTAAATTCCCCTTAATGCGTCTTTACATTTTTTAAATGAACTAATTATGTTTATATAAGGAAGTTAAATAAAAATACGCGTGGGGTAATTATTAACAACAGTATATAAGTAATTGTTTACCAAAATGTTTCTGTTTATGTTTGACAAAAAATTACCCAGCGCGCCCTTATAAACATATAAATTAGTGTTTCTTAAAAATGACAATATGAACAAATTAAACGCCGACCAATAGGCATACAATACATGCCTATTGGTTAATATAAGTGATTAGAAAATTTGAGAGGTTCCTAGTGGATAGTTCAAACACTAAATAAACAAAAAAATTGACAGGCCATGAATTTCACAATTTTATTTAACAAATACTACCAGCAGATTGCGAAAGTTATCATTAACCCGATGATGACATTTCACTTACGCGTGTAGAGAATTTTTATGAAAAAAATGAGACAAAATCGATTTGTGGTAAATTTTCTTAGGGGTCCTACGATAGAACATATTGTGTTCTGTACAACTATACAGAGTGATTTACGAAGCACTTATTTGAAAAATAAAACTAATATTAATAATTTTTTAATGGTTTCTTTTAATAAATTGTCTATTTCAATGTATATACAGGGTGATTTTTTTATTATAACCCACTCAATTACTTACAGAATAATAATAATTTAAAAATTTTTTTTTATTATTATCTTTAGTTACACATTATTCTTGAATTATTAACTATGTAATACTTTTTAAGTTCATCCCTTATGCCTGGTAAGGGTGTCAACTTTGTTTTTTTAAATGGTAACACATATTTTTAATTTAATAAAATGTTTCAGTTTTTAATTTAATAGTAAATGGCATTTGAATTTTTAATATAACTTAATTCGTTTATTAGATATAATCATTTAAAATTTCCAATTTTTGAATTAATATACAGGTATAATGCACAAGGGATTACAAATATAGGTAGCTAATTGGTTTTTTATAACATCGATATTAGCAGGTACACAGCATTGTTATTATCAATTGTAGTAAGGCACATTGTTATGAGTTTATAAATACACTAACTGACAATACAGAAAGTATATCTATTGATAATCATAATTGATAATAAACAATCCGTGACTGAGACAGCAATGTCATAAAAATCCAATTAGCTACCTGTATTTACAATCCCATGTGTATTATACATGTATATTAACTCAAAATTTTGAAACTTTAAATGTTTATATCTAATAAGCTAATAAAGTTATATTAAAAATTCAAATGCCATTTACTATTAAATTAAAAACTGAAACATTTTATTAAATTAAAAATATGTGTTACCATTTAAAAAAACAAAGTTGACACCCTTATCAGGCATAAGGGATGAACTTAAAAAGTATTACACAGTTAAAAATTCAAGAATAATGTGTAACTAAAGTTAATAAAAAAAAAAAATGTTTAAATTATTATTATTCTGCAAGTAATTGAGTGGGTTATGATAAAAAAATCCCCCTGTATATTAAAAAAAAAAAAAAAATGAATGTTCATCCCTTGTATATTATAAGGGTTTCGACTTTAGTGTCTTTAATGACAACACACTAGCTTATTCATTAGATTCAAATGATCTATTTAAGAAAACAACTGGTCTATAACAATTTGTGGACCTGTATTTTGGAAATTATTAACATATTTATTACTGCTGACCAACCAACAACTGTCAATACCCAGGTGGCAGACTATGCGGATGACAAAGTACTTATTTCAATTCATAAAAATCATATCATTGCTGCTACTCAACTACAGTTACACCTAAATTGCATGTACGACTGGTGCCAGAAATGGCGAGTCATGCTAAACGAAAATAAATCCTCTCATATTACTTTTACCCTATGTCATAACAATCCCCATGTTTTAATTAATGACAGTTCTATTCCTTCTTCAAATAAAGTTAGATATCTTGGTCTTATCCTTGACCGTAAACTTAACTGGTCGCCACAAATTCATGCAAAAATAATAAGTGTAAACCAACGGCTTAGATTACTCTATCCATTACTCCACAAAAATGCCAAAACTAACTTGCACACTAAACTCACAATATATAAAAGCTTTATCAAACCAATGTGGTCGTACGGTATTGAGCTATGGGTTGCAGCAAAAAAATCAAATACTAACAAAATTCAAGTTTTACAATCTAAATGCCTTCGTCAAATTCTTAACGCCCCACCCTATATATCAAACGAAACGATTCATAAAGACCTCCACATTACTACTGTAAAACAAACTGCTATCTCTCGTTATAAACATTTTCACAACCGTCTTAAAAATCTATCCTCACTTTCTATCCCAAATAACTATCCCCGCCGACTTAAAATATCTTGGAGTAGAGACCTCCTTCAATTATAAATGTTATTGTACTTGTAATAGGCTTCATCCTTAATTATGTATTAAATTAATGTTAGTAGGAGTTCCGTCATTGGGTGGACTCTTCGCAAGACTTTCGAAGCTTTCTTTTTGTTTTTGTTTTTTTTGTATATATTATTTGATCGCAAATTCTTATTGTATATTATATACAGGTTGTATTTTTTTCTTAATAAAAAAAAAAAAAAAAATTAACATATTTATGTTTAAACGAGAAGAAGAGTACAGCAGGTAAATATCTAGTTATAAAAAAAGCTGCACCCCACTCATCACCTTTAGTAATTAATTTAAATTGTTAATCATTTCCGAAACACTGACACAAAAATTGTTATTGACCAATCATTTTCTTAATTAGATCATTATCTATTAATTAAGCAAATTAACTATGTGTGTTACCATTTGAGAAATAAAAGTAGACATTCTTATAAGGTATAAGGAGGAATTTTTATTTTAACGGAAAATAATTACCCAACATACGCAACTAAATGATCTGATACCGTGTGTAACACTAACGGTTAGACAGTATTAAGTTTAAATTGTTTATACTATAATAATGCATGCATTGATATTTCTATAAAAAAATCTAAACACATTACCAAAATTCTTTTTATTCTTCCATATATCAGAAAGTAAAAAATTTTGGTTGTATACCTGTAAACTTACCGATTGGAATTTTATACTTGAGAGTATTTTTAATTCTATAAAATTTTATGTGTCTTATAGGGATACATCTTTTTGCAGTCTTATAACAATACTGATATTTTTTTATTGCTAAAATGAATAAGGCAATTTTATTTACTTCTGCAACAGCCAAATAAAAAATATTGATAATATTATTTTCTGTGACATTTGCATAATGTAATTGAATAAATTTAGTACTTATAGCGTTATATCTCATAAAATCATAGCAAACTTTTATTAGTTTATGCGCTTCTCTACTTGTAAACAATTTATTACGTTCTTTGAAGGATGAAACAAGTTCGTGCATTATATTAAAAATAAACTCAATTTTATTTGTAATTATTTTTTCAAATAAATTCAAATCCATAAAAAATTTCATGATTTCAACAATATGTTGACCCATTTCAATGATTAAATTTTCCAGAACCTGTTTTAATTTCATATTCTTAAACTTATTAAGTAAAAGAAATTTTCTAACTAATGAAAAATAAAAACTTGCAATCAACATAATTGGGCGAACTGTTGCTGTATTAACTAAATTTTCAAACATTTGTATATTTATCAAGTTAAAATCGAACTTGATGAAACGAAACACATCAAATAACTTTATTTGATAATTATTAGTACTCCTTATTATTAACGGCACATATCGAACCATGTCTAATACAACATTAAGTTGTTTGTCACAGTTATTTCTAAAATATTGTTCAGCATCAGAACCTGATGACAAGTCTAGTTTTAAATAACGTGGTCTATTTTCCATTAAATATCTACTTGAAACATTTTTTTTAATATGAAAAATTCCCATTATGTCTAATACATCATTAAATTCCTTATTTTCTATGTAACTGGCTGTTTGTTTTGCCTGAGATCCTGTCGATAATTCTAGCTCACAAAAATTAGATCGGGTTTCCATTAAATCATAAAATAAGAATTTTTTTGGATTAAAATTATTATATGATTGCTTACGAAATGACAACGCTAAATGTTTCACAATGACAGTATAACTTTTTAATATTTCAGTATCGTCCGCATCGTACCATAATAAATATTCGTTCATAACAATAAATATGTTATTTTTTAATTGTTTCAAAACACGAAGCAAAATATCTGGCATATAACTAATTGGCGGTACCTTAAAATGAGTGTATGCTATGAAGTTATTATTAAACGATACATCTGAACATTTACTGTTAATAAAGTATTCCAATCGTTCAACAATTGATCGATTAATTAATTTATAGCCTTGAAGTAAATTCTGCGAGCTTTCAGTTCTACTAAATTCACCATTTTCATTTTTAGCGATCATGTTTATAGATCCCGAAACATTGTTTAAGTATAAATTTATGGTCATTAAATCTTCTGCTATATACATTTCGTCCATATCCCATAACGCATCTAACATGATCATTATGATTTCATCATGAGATTTAATTGCTAAACCATAATTTCTTAATTCCAGTTCAGAAATTGTATTTTCGAAGTTAACTAAATACTGCTCACTGTATTTGAAATAATTAAAAAAATATTTAGAGAAATTGCAATGTAATTCTAAAGGGTCCATGGAAATAGAACATTTAGTATATACAATAACAGAAATAAAAATTTTAAATACAATCATTTTGATGTATACTTCACAACTTGAAAATTTTAAATGAACTCTAGACAACATTAAAAAAGTAATATTTGTTTTATATCATACTAAAAATATGAATAAATACATTATGATAATTTATTTGCTTTAATTATATTTACTTTATACATCAACATTTATGCTTCCTTTTTTAGCTTCGATGCGAAGCGGAGAAGGTATTAATTTTACCGTGATATGTTTTTTTTTTTTTTTTATATTTGTTGCCACTTTTTCTCAGTTCTCACTGGACCGATTTCTTTCAACAATACGTCAAAAGTCCACAAATAGTAACTAGTTGAAGACATTACCCTTAAAAATTGAAAAATTTTCCCTCGTTCCCCGCAAATGGGGGAAATCCAAAAAAATTACAAATTTAAAAATTGGTAAATTTTTTCACTTTTTTTTCTTAAAACTTCCATAACTTTTTCAAAAATAAACAAATCAACATAATTTTTTTTTATACTAAAATTTTAGATATATACCTTTCATTTGAAATAATTTTTTTTGAAAATCTAACACTTATTCTGCTTACTGGGGGGATTTAAAATAGTAACTTTTTTACAGAAAATAAATTTTTTCAACTTAATTTTTGAAAATGTTTTTAATCACTGTCAGATATCATCTATACTGGACCCAACTATGCCACGACCCCACTGTGCCGCCACTCTACTGTGCTGGGTTTTTATTTTTAGTTTTATTTAATTTACTTTTACATTTATGGCTTTAAAAATTTTAATTAATTTTCTTTTTCTTTTACCTACAATACGGAGATAAGTAGGTGTTCTTTAACAATGAATTTTTCTTTTTATTTTATCTTTTCATGTTAGACTTATTCATTCTTATCTCTAATAAATTGTTCTAAAAATAATACTGGTTTAAAGATTGTTATAGAAGAGTCATTTTCTTTGTTAGATAATTTTCTTATTTTTAAGCTAATTAAATTAATATCATTGCGTTTGAAAAAAATAAGTCAATACTATTTTAAAAAAGATAGATATAGGTCAAATTAACTTATAAAAAGGTTCCATACACCTTCGTCATTTTCAGTAACTACTTGTTGACATACGTAAAAAAAGAAAACCCAATACAATGGGATTGTGGTCCAATGGGGTGGCATGGCTTAGTTGGGTCAAGTATAATGATTTAAATCACTATCATAAAAAACCCTTCGATGCAAATCTGTAGAGTGTTAAATTTTAAAAAATTAATGAATTATTTCAAAGCTGCATGATCTCCTATTTCCTTTTTTGTATTCTGATTATAAGTCTTATGATTTAGAAGTGTAATATATGAATAAATAAATATATATATATATATATATAGTGCTTATCTTAAAAAAAAATATATTATTACATAAATTTTTTAAAAAGTTATAGCTTTATAAAGTTAAAATATAAAAAAATTTTATTTACCAAAATCTTTTTTTTTTTTAACTTTAATGTCTTTTTTCACCATAAAAATAAAATATGAAATTTTTTTTTCCATATTAAAATATATTATATAAACTTTAGTTTATAATATTTATGCAAATCAGTGTACTCCCCTTGTCAGGTGTTTTAAAATAAAATAAAATACAAAACCCAGAGTTTTAACACAAAAATAGCATATTTTTGAATACGGCAGTCATTTTTATCATGAAGTGTCGTACGTCGGTAGTGCCCCAACGTAGACACAAAGGTTTATTAAAGTTTTATATATATATATTGACGACGAGTTCGTCGTTCGAGCTCTTCTCGAGTCCTCCCGTTGGATAAACTGATTAGCCCCAATCTCTCTAATTAGTGGACTACTAAAGGGGTAGAGTTTAGACCCGTCAGCACAGTCTAGCTCAAAAGTAGCAGACTGAAGGGTGGCTCCTTGTCAGCCACCAGCACAACTACCTTTTTACTATACCCACTAAAGGACGGTTAAGCCTAAACACTAGCCAGCTCGTTCACTAATTATCAAGATTATTTAAAGGTAAAGGTGACATACAGGAGTGACATATAGAGGCATACAGCTTATGAATCATAGTATGAATATATTGGTAAAGTTATAGATAAGAGAATAAGAAATGAGACATCGGTATCTAAAAACCAGATTGAATTTATGCTTGGTATTTCAACTATGGAGCCAGTATTTTGTGTGAGGCAACTAATAGAAAAGTTTAGGGAAAAGAAGAAAAATCTGTGTATGGTATTTATAGATTTGGAGATAGCGTATAAAAGAGTACAAAGAGAGGGTTTAAAATGGGCATTAATGAAAAAAAGAGTCCCAAAAAGGTACATTAGTATAATAAGCATAGGAGGAGTAATACAAAGTTTTCGGGTAAGAGCAGTATTGCAACAAGGTTCTGCTTTAAGCCCTTACTTATTCTCTATAATAATGGATGAAATTACTAGAAAAAAACAAGGAGAGGTGCTGTAGTGCATCTTATTTTCTGACGATATAATGTTAATAGGAGAAAATAGAGAGGAAATTTATCAAAGGCTAGGTGTGAGGAGATCAGCTCTTGAAGAAAAGGGTTTAAGAATAAGTAAAAGTAAGACAGAGTACAACTTTGACATACTTTATCATAATCAGGATATTAATAAGGAAACAGCAGACCATGTAGCTTTTTAATCCACCAATTTTTTTAAATTAAACACTATCTAAAGATTTGCATCTAAGCGGTTTTTGATAGTGATTTTAATCACTGTCAGATATCATTATACTTGATCCTACTATGCCACGTCACTACTGTGCCGCGACCCCCCTGTGTTGGGATTTTTAATAGTGTAATAGTCATAATATTCAATATAATAGTTCAAAGTTGTTATTTAGTTAATTAGATATTTTTTTATTTTATAAGCTAGTTATATTACCATTAAAAATATAGTAGACAAAAATAACTATTAAAAGAATCACTCTGTATTTCGTTATCTCATTTCTCACAATGGTAGATAGAACATTTTTGTTGGAATGAGTAGTCCATTTTCTTTTAATATACTTATTGAGTTTATATTCAAAAAGTTTATTCCTAAAAAAAAATTATTATAATCTTATAACGGTATAACAATTTTAAACTTATTGAACACTCATATTTTTAAAAACATTATATAGTTTATATTAATGAGTTAAATAATTATAAAAGCCAAAACAATACTTAAATACAGTAAATACAAAATTCATATTCATAGAAAATATTTTCAAAAATAAAAGTTAATAGTTATAGATCACAATTTATTTTTTAATTAAAAATTACAGAATCTATAAATACAAATCCCCTTTTTAATTACCAATTATTACTAATTTTCACATCCTTAATTTGTCATACCTCTTTATATCCAATGCTTAAAGTTATTAATTACTTATTTTCACCCCTTAACTACTAATTTTACCCGTAATTACTCTTTATATACTCCCTTAACTACAAATTTCATCCCTAACTAAATACTACTATAGAATAGTTACCATTATTCTGCAAAGAAATTATAATAAAAGTTTATAAAATATATTAATATAACTGCTAAAATCTTATTAAGTTAAACAAAATCTTATCAATAAGAACAAACAATATAATAAAAATTGATCATTGTGGCTAATATTATTTTAAATATATACTAAATTAAAAATATAATAATTTAAAACTAAATAAAATAAGATGATGAATGTTTTTTCAATAATGTTATTTTTATATTTTAGCTAAAATACATTCTGAATTATATTTGTTTGAATGAAATACTATTTTACTATATTAAAATTCATTCATATTATATTTTAGCTAGAATATTTTAGAATAAACTACTGTAGGTTCTATAATTTTTAGATGCCTCTTAGTCTCCTTAATTTTTACATTTGATGATTTTCCATCGTTTTTTCCAAGTATCTCTAAAAGATTCAATTTCCAATATGGGATATCTGAATTTAATTTATTTAAAGGGTATTATCTTTAAATATAGTTAGGTTTCGGTTATTTTTATTAGTGCTAATACTTCTTTAGTATACTTATTCCGTACCAAATTCAAAGAAGCTATAGGCTCTTTGTATTACACAATATCTACCAGCCCTTGCTAAAATACAAAGTATTAAAAAAGTAAGGAAACAGATCAAATGTTACAAAAAATGAGAATAATAGAAACCCGTTTTTCTTACTTATTGAACACTTTGTATATTATAAACTCATCTTTTATATTGCAATACCTATGTACAGAATGGAGCAGATATAATTGACAACTCTTACAACTTTTGATCCAATAATCCTTTTGCTGTAATTTTTTGAGCAATACTTTCAACAAATCTAATAAAAGCCTAAATAATTTCTTACTTGTAAAATAAAAAATACAAACATATATATTTTTAATTTTATTTTACATAGCTTTACGATCAAATACTTAATTCTATAATAAAATAAAATTAATTTTAACTTACTAATTTTACAAATTAAACAGGCAAGGTTTATTCATGAATAAATTTCAGACAATAATTATACATACTAAGAATTATGAACAATATGTTTAAATTATATTAAATAAATAAAACAAATTAAATTATTAGGAAGTTTCAAATTAATTTAAATCATTTAGCGACAGGATTTAAATAATAGGTTTAATAATAACGTCAGTCAATTCATGAGAACTACTTGATCCACCTAAGTCTCTAGTTCTTATTTTTCCAGCAGCTAATACTTCTTTAATAGCAGTTATTATAGCTTCACTATAGTATTGTAGATTAACATGTCTTAAAATTTTAGAAACACACATTAACATTGCTTTTGGATTAGCAATGTTCTAACCAACATCAGTTTCGAAAACATGTCTTGCACCCTAATAGTTTTAGTTGAGCAAAATTATTAATAAAAAAATTTAGATTTAAAACATAAAGGAAAATATTAATTTACTGGTTCAAAAACAGCACATTCTGGACTGAATTATGAATTGGGAACAATACCAGCTCCACCAACTATGGTAGCTCCCAAATTATCTAATATATTACCATATTTATTGGGCATAACTAGTATATTAAATTGTTGAGGGTTAGAT